TCTTGGGCACTTAGCCTGAAGTGCTCCGCCAAAGGAGTAGACACGAGCTTGCAATCCAACATATTGAATCTTTCAAGTACCTTAGCTATGTACTTGCTTTGTGACAGCCACAACTTGCCCTCATCTCGGTCTCTCCTTATTTCCATTCATAGGATCTTTTGTGCGGGTCCAAGATCCTTCATGTCAAACTCCTTCCCAAGTTGGATCTTCAACTCTTGAACCTTTGACATATCTTGACACGCAATCAGCATATCATCCACATAAAGTAGTAATAGAATGATCTTCCCATCCTTGAACACATGAGAATACACACAGCAATCTGATTCACATCTTCTATACCTAATCCGCAGCATATAAGTGTCAAAGCGCTTGTACCACTGTCTTGGAGATTGCTTGAGCCCATACAAAGACTTCTTCAACCTGCAAACCAGATTTCCCTTACTTGCTTCAACGAACCCTTGAGGTTGACTCATGTAGATATCTTCCTCTAAGTCTTCATGGAGAAAAGCTGTCTTCACATCCATTTGCTCCACCTCCATGTCCCACTGTGCTGCTATGGAGAGCAATAACCATATAGAAGTATGCTTTACAACCGGGGAAAAAATCTCATCATAATCAATTCCTTCCTTCTGTAAGTATCCCTTCGCCACTAGACGAGCTTTGAATCTAGTTGGCTCCTTATCACATATTCCTTCCTTCTTCCTAAACACCCACTTGCAGCCAATCACCTTTCTGTCTTTGGGTTTAGGGACCAACTCCCAAACGGAGTTCCGGTGTAGAGATTCTATCTCATCAACTTTCCCGCTCCGCACTCTCAACTGCTTCTTGGAACGTAGTTGGGTCTCCTTCACTTATGTTTAGAGCATAGTGAACTGCGTCCGTCTCCCATCCAAACCGTTGAGGAGGTTTGATGGTTCTCTTGGGCCTGGACCTTGCTATGGATGGTGGCTCCACCTGATCTTGAGCCTCTTCTTCTTCTTCATCTTAAGTCTGTTGTTGTTGCCCAAATTCCTCCACCTCAGTGTCGGACTCCACTGCTTCATGGACGTCTCCAATTGGCTGCAAACTCGGAGTACCCCCGAACACTCTACTAGATGATTCTGTAACGGTTGTTTCTGTCCCAACAACATTCTCCTTCACCTTTGGTTTCTTGACTTTAATCATAGGCATAGTCTTCTCATCAAAGACAACGTCTCTCCTGAGTATCTTCTTCCGGTTCAATGGATCCCATAACTTGAAACCCTTCACACCATTCTCAAACCCGAGGAATATGCATTCAAGAGACTTTGGCTTCAACTTGGTTCTCTCATCACTAGGTATAAGAGCATAGGCACTGCATCCAAATACTTTCAAAATAGAATACTCAATAGACTTGTTAGACCATACCTCTTCCGCACACTTGAAATCAAGATACTTTGATGGTGATCGGTTAACCAAATAGGAAGCGTGGTTAACTGACTCTGCCCAAAATGATTCGGGCAATCCTGCATGAATCCTCATACATCTCTCACGCTCCATGAGAGTTCTATTCATCCTCTCTGCAACTCCATTTTGTTGGGGCGTCTTCTTCACGGTAAAGTGCCTCTTAATGCCTTCGTTTCTGCAAAACTCAAGGAACTTGTTGTCTTTATATTCACCACCATTGTCACTCCTTAGGATCTTGATCTTTCTTCCGGTTAGGTTCTCAACTTCTGCCTTCCACTCTTTGAATTTGGTGAAGACCTCAGATTTCTCCTTCATGAAGTAGACCCAAACCTTCCTGGAAAAATCATCCAAGAAAGT